TGCGAGTCAACGCGCGCAAGCCAAAATCCAGCTTCCCAAACGCAATGCTACGCCAAGCAACGTAACAGGTGAACCACATATATTCAAAGCGGCGCAATGCAATGCACGACGTTCCAGCTGGGCGGGCGGAGGGGACGCGCGCGCGACACGTGTGCGCCAGGACTCGAATGTCATTTGCATTTCTCTGCGTGGCCACTTGAGCCCACCTCTTCGCCAAGGCTGGATTCGCCACTCCAAGTCTGGATTCGCCCCGACATCCTGGTCAGACGGCGCTCCAGGAAAGGCCCTGGTGCCGATGATGATGCGTGGGCGTCCTTCTTCTCCTCCTCCTCCTCCTCCTCCTCCTCCTCTTCCTCCACATCCTGGTCAGAGTGCGCTCCAGGAGAGCTCCGCATCCTGGTCCTCCTCCTCCTCCTCCTCCTCCTCCTCCTCCTCCTCCCCCCCCTCCTCATCCTCCTTTTTTGTTCCCCCCCCCCCTCCTGGCGGGGGGCGAGCGCAAAAAAATATGTTTTCCGCTGCGCACGACGACGGCAACTCATTCTTCCCCGGGCAGAGGCACGGGTTCAATCATGAACTAAGCTATCTGTCACCTCTACGGGCTCTGGCTGGCCAGTCGCTCCGTGCGGGCCAGGATCAGTGGGCTGCGCATCATCTGATGATTCCGACGCTGAAATCAAGTGTTGCCCGTCGTAAGATGGAATGAGCTTCGTCTTTTTCGCTGCCCTCGGGAGCGCGAGGAGGGAGAAGAGGAAGAAGCAGAGCACGACGACGATAAAGTAAGGGCGACGACGAAGGCACGGAGGAGGGCGAGGATGGAGGAAGAAGGAAGACGAGGGGGACTTGGAGGCGAAAGGGGCGTGATGAGCCTGTGCCCGCCAGCCAGGGGTGAAGGTGGTGCCTCGCTCGCCCTCGCTCGCTTGGCCACCAGCGGTGCGTCCTCCACCCAGAAGCCATCCACGAAGTACATCAATGGTTTGTTACGGATGTTCTAGGCATGTTTGAAACGTGTTATCTCGTTCCTCATGTCCTCTTCTTCCCCCCCCTCGTCATTCTCATCTTCCTCCTCTTCGTCGTCGTCGTCCTCCTCCTCCTCCTCCTCATCGTCGTCCTCATGCGCCTTTTTCCTCTTCCTCATCATCATTGCCCTAATCATTCTCTTCTTGGGGGGCCCCCGGGTGGAAGGATAACGAGATTTGTTCTCCGTGGGGTCCTCTACGATCGTTCCACTGGGCAGGGCGCAATGCGGCTTGCAATGGTCCCGGCCGTCCGCGTGCACTTCGCCGCAGTGGCGACACATCCAAGATTCATACCATTTCGGCGCACGTTGGCCGTGCTGATCTTCGCGACGATCAGGGTCCGCCGTCGTTTCCAACGTGTCGGAGCTCGTAAAACTGCCAGCCTCACCCTCGGGGATTTTTAAGTACACCTCGTCCACGTACTCGCATACCCTACATTTGTGTATAAGGGGCCCAATGCGAATGATGTTAATGGTTGTCATTATGTTTGCACAGCGTATAGTAAGAGGTGATGTGTGTCACCAGATGCCCGAGCCAAGCTGCGCCGATGCATCGGTGATGATGGGTACCCGAGCGTACATTGAAACACAGATTGCAAGCACTCATTAAGATCTACTCTGCTTTCTTCGCAATGGAACTCGCTGGCGGGCGCGGCATCGAGCCGGGGTCGCAGGAGTAGAGTCGCGACTAAGTGGTCGGAGGAGGAGGAGGGGCGAGGTGGATAGTGGAGTAGAGGAGGAGACGAGGAGGAAGGAGTGAGTAGGCAGGAGGAGTAGGAGGAGGACGACGAGGACGAAGAGGAGGAGGAGGACGACCGAGGAGGGGCGAGTCACGCCACGCAGCTCGTTCCCATGACCCTCCCACTCCTCCTTCTCTCCCCGCCCGTCCCCCCCTCTATCTACTCCTGGCGGTCGCAGCCTGGCGGCCCCTTCTGGGGCGCGGCGGCATTCGAGCTCGAGCTTGCGCAAACATCCGATACGCCGGGCACGGCGGAGCAGAAGGATGACGAGAAGGATAAGTAAGAGAAAGTGATCAGTTGGAGTAGCAGTGACAGGATGTCAAGCATAGGCTCCCCTCCTCCTCATCCTCCTCGTCCTCCTCTACCCCTCTCCTCCGCGTCCTCATCTTCCTCATCCTCCTATTCTTGATTGCGCTAGCTCTGCCGCCAGACCTGGCCACCTTGAAACGAAAGGCCGTCAGGGCAAAGCCGCCGCCATCGTGAAACCAGATCATTCTGCATTGGTGAAAACCACCAGAACCAATGCCCGATCATCATGAAACGACGGCGGCAGTCGCCCCCAGCCTCGCCCTGCTGACGGCGAAAATCAACGCCAGGACTGAAAACTCAAGCCTCACCCATATCATCATCGAGCTCGTCGAAGCCATCCTCGTCCATCTCCTCATCCGCGTTCGCCTCCTTCTTCTGGCGCTTGCCGCCCTTGGAGCCGCCTGCCGCGGCGTCGGCCTTGCCCTTGGACAGGGGCGCGATCCTTGCGAGCAACGCTTTCTTGGCGTCATCGGAACCCCCACCGGACTGACCACCAGCTGCAGCCTGCTTGGGATCTTCTTTTTGGCCATTCTGAGCTGTCTCGCGCTTGCGCTTGCCAGCAGAGGTCTTTTTGTTCGTCTCATCTGCTCCAGCTTCCTCGGCGGGGCTGTCCTTCAAGAGCTCGGCGAACGCTGGCTGGTAAAGCTTGTCGCCCTCGACCTGGAACATCTTCAGCACGGTCTTGTCGATGTGCATCAAGAGCTGATCGCGATGGGCAGTGTTGAAGGCCACCCCGACGTGAGGAATGCGGGCGCGGATGGCTGCCAGAGCCCTCGCCCCATCTGCAGGGGTCAGGTCCACCGCCGCCTTGACGTTGTGGCAGTGCAAGATCTCTTCCCACAACTTTGTCGGCGTAGCGTGAAAGAAAACAGGCTCGCTCTCCTTCTTCAAGGAGCGAATGAAGGCGATCTCCTTCTCCGATTCCTTCTTCTCGTCGGTGGTAGTGTCAGGGGGGTGGGTCGAGCCCCCTGCGAGAACCACGTTGGTCTTTGTGATCGCAGTCTTCTTGATGGCCTGGGGAAGGCACCACGTGTCGGAGGAGTCGAAAGGTGCCCATGCCACGGGCCCCACGAACTCGCCGTTGGATGTTCCTTCGAAGTGGATGCGCGGCTTGTCTGGGAGCGTCAGCGAGCTGCTGGTGATGGGGAACATCCACTCCACCTGTAGAGCACCGCTTGTGTTCCGGCAGATCTTGAGCCTCTCCCGGATGCTGGCCTCGGAGTACATCACGTACAGCACCTTTTTGCATTTCTGGAGGGCCTTCTGGTTCGCGTCGCACAGACCACTCAGCAGCGCCATCTCGTTACCTGGACGGCGGACTAATTGCTAGTCCTCGCTCCCCTTATCAGATCGTGAGATCTAGCCCCTCCCCCACCCGCATCCTCCTCCTCCTCCTTCTCCTCCCCCTCCTCCTATTCCTTTTCCTCGTCATTCTCTGTCAGAGGACAAATACTTCATACATGTGTGTATCGTTGTATGTGTATATTGACGTACATATGTGTATATATACGAGTTGTACATGCAGGTGTGGATATATGTGTATGTATCGATATGTCGATATATAACATATATGTGTTAGATCTTGCTTGTATACAGTTGTATGTACATGTACTTGTAGGTGTGAGTGTCTATATATACATGTGCACGCATATGTACTGTAGATCTAGATGTTTTCGCTCATGTATGTGCAAATGGTTCTGTCTATGCGTTTGTGTATGCATATGCGTGTGCTTGTGCACGTGTACTTTATACGTGTATCATGTGCCCATGTGCACGTATGTATGCATTGCATCGCTATCTTGCATTGCTACCCCTCTGTGACCGTGCTTGCCACCGTCTGGCAGGATGTAGAGGTCGCCGTCTGCGATCGCATCGGGCTCCATCAGGTTGAGCGCGACCTTGAGCAACCGCTTGCAGTGTTCAGAGCGAAAGTAGACCTGCCTCAGATGGGGCCGATGGGAGCATTCGCCCGACACTTTCGAGTCGTATACGATGTCAACGTAGGATGACTGAGCAGGGTTCTCGACGTTCTTGGAGCCCTTGATCCTCCCAGCCTCCGTGTTCTTGAGCGCCTGGATGAGATCGCATTCCTTCGTCGTGTCGGGGGCGAACTCCACGTGGGACCGCGCCAGTTCCGCGACCTTCCTCTTGAAGAGGTTCAACTTCTGCATCTCGTCGGCACTTTTGGCAGACACGTCGATCGCGAGACTCCCCGGCGAGACCAGCTGAATATTTTCCGGGTTGGTCAGCGAAGTAGTGTCTCCGGTCTCATCATCAGGATTCACTTCCACTTCGTTGGCAGGCTGTTTCTCCTCCGGCGGCTTCGTCCCGACCTCCAAATGCGCCATTTCTTTGATGTGCGTCATGTGCTCATCCACGCTGCTGAGCTCGAAAAACTCGCCAGCGCCCTTCCTGTGCATGACGCACTGCGCGACGGCGGGTTGCCAACTCATAGTTGCTGAACCGAATATGGCGTCCTTCAGGCGAGGTAAATCAAATAGTTAAGTACTTTACCAGTATAGGCCCCACTCTCATCGCGTTCAGCCTACTAATCTACACCCTGCCCCTGCTATATAGCAGCATCACCTTGGGGAAATATCGTGCCGAACCAGATCGCCCTTCAGAAACAGCGCGTTCAGAAATTGACGAATCTTTTAAAAAGGGAAATGCGGAATACAAACCTGATGTTAGTGGTGCACAGACAACGTGGACTCAATCTCCGAGCTACTGATTAGTTATTAGCGACAACATCAAAGTATCTATCCAGAGCCCTCTGAAACATCAATCCAGAAAACCTCTGAAACATCAATCCAGAAAGTTTCTGGAACATCAGCCCAGAAAGCGCCGAAAGCATGCGAAGCCCGAAAACGCACAACACGATGCTGACCCAGCATTTTTGACCCCAGGGTATCCTCGATGAAGGCAGGGTATTCCACCGCGCTCGGCGGCCACCCCGCCTTCCAGGTGATGTTAGCGCGTTCGTCTGGGCACCCGTTGAATTCGCGGAAGAGCAAGTGGCCGGCGCACACGACCCTGAATTTGGCTTTCACCTCCTCCGTCCACTGGGGAAAATCGGCCAATTTCTCCATGAACAGATCCCTCAGCTTCTTTTTGAAAAAGGCGATGTCAACAACGCTCTTGCCGGCTAGCGTGCCCTTGCCTTCGATGGATCTCAGGGACAGGCCGCTGTCTGTCATGAAACCATACTTCCAGGCATCATGGAGCGCATGGAAAACCCACGAAAGCTCGTCACCCTTGGCCCGCCGGCTGATTTTGTCCAACTTGGTGAGGTAGTCAAAGGGGTTGCGGCTGCCATATTCTGAATCGCACATGGGCAGGAGCTTCGAGATCGATTGAATGCCGAAACAGGCTTTGTGGACCTTGAGCGCCATCTCAATGAACGTGTCGGAGATCTCCTCGCTGTGCGATCCCAGCTTCGCCTTCTTGTACTCCTCCTGGAGCTGCAGCGTGGTGAGGGTGTTATTCGAAAGGTCCTCCTTGCGTTTCTTGTAGTTCACGATTTCGTAGAGGCGCTGCACGGCGCTGCGACGCATCGCCTCGAAGTCTGTCCCGAAATCTTCTCTCTCTTGCACTGCCTGCCAGTGCAGGGCGTCATCCGTCGACAGATCCACGAAGCATGCGCTGACTGACAGAGCGCACTGCCTGGGGGAAACCACCGGGGAGATAACATCAAACAAACGTCTGAACACTCATCTTAGAATAGCTTGGCAGACCGTGCAATGCTTGATGTATGATTCCACTGCTGACTTATGTATATGCATTAACGTTAAAACCTACATCCGAACATCCACACACGGACGTAACAACTATATAGTATGGCATTGCTCTGATATGTTTGGATGGTTGGTGTTGCGTGCGCGTGCGTTGCACACCCCCCTGGGTGGGGAGGCGACGACCAGGTGACTTCGGAAACCTAAATGCCTCCACCGCTTGAGCACGAAGTCGTCCTTACCAGCCCGAATGTCCCGCGCGATCGCCTCGATGAAGGCGAAGCGCTTCTCTTCTGGGGAGGGGGGCCTCAGACTATGCGATGCCATCAAGCTCGGAACGTCGTCGCTATCCTTGGCCACGCCAATGGTCACGGAGCCCATGGAGAATGCAGGCTGATCATAGTAGTGCTCCGTCAGGGATGACACCGCCTTCTTGCGAATCGGAATCCCTGGTGTAGCGCTGTACGTAACATCCATGGCGAAGAAATTGATGCCACAGGTGACCCGCCCCGTAGTCTTGAAGCTGTCCGTGAAAGTCTCGGCGTCGAAGGGCGCGATCTGGCCCCAGTTCATTGGGTCGTCATCATTGGCGTCGTCGTCCCCAGCGACCTTCAATGACAGGGGCGCCATGTCTCTAATTCCTGAGAAGACGGGGTTACTCTCGATGAGCTCCAGCGACGCATTGACAGTCGCGTAGATCTCGGCGTTGACAGCGAGCTCCTCCTTCGAGAGCGGCGCGAGCTTCCCGACTCTGGCGACGTTGTTCGACCCGGTCGACTCGCCAACAACCTCCCCCTCAGGGGCCGCCTTCTTCTTCGCTGCGGCCTTGGGCTGCTTCTTGGGTGCCATGATGTCTCCGCAGCGAGTCCGCGTAGTAGTAGTAGCAGTGGCAGTGAGTGGGCGCAGATAGCCAGCCGACCCTGCTGGCTGAGATGAGTCTGGCAGTGAAATCTTAAGCCAAAGCGGCTCAGTATGTATGGATTGTTCTAGTATGTGTGCCACCTGACAATATGAACAGTCTCCCAAGCAGTGCTTGCACTTAGAGATCATATTAGAGATCTTGTTTCGGCCCCAAGGAACCGGGCGCGTCGGCCGAGATTTCGCCATGCGAGCGCCCTTCAGGTGCAACCTGTGGCGCAACAAATTAATTGAGTGGGTCGGCCGAAGAGTAGCCACGCGGGCGTTCATGGCGCAACCGATTGGGCGGATCGGACAAGGTTTTGCTACATGTGCGCTTTTTGCTTTGGAATGCGGCGTGCACATGATAAACCGGAATAAGATGACTCACTGTTTGAGGTCCACGTTTGCAAGCATGTCCTCAGAGAGCGCGCAGCCCGTCTATCTAGCAAGGAGGGTTGTGGGATTGGCCGCCGGGGGTGAGGGCGTCACTATGCTAAATTGATTTGCGCGCGTGGATGGTTTTGATCCCCCATGTGATCATTTTTTGTTGCCGTGGGCCAAACGTATTTCCACACGTTGTACTAGCACGCAGAGCCAGACAGTACATGCATGGGATGATGCGCGGGCGGAGCAGAGGGGGCGAGGAGGCGTGCATGGAGGGGGCCGAGAGGGAGAGAGAAGGGAGGAATAATGATGGGATCGACCGGCGCTCTTCAATAATACACTGCTTCGCAGACCGCACGAGCATTCAATTCTAGGCCCAGGGGTCCTCCAAGAGCGGCAGGCACTTCACATGCACGACTGAGCGAAGCAACTGCAAGGCAACGCGCGTGGCCACCGTCACAGTATAAGCATTGCCGATCATTTGCCTATAGGCCCGCTCTGAGCAGAGGCCCGTCCAGTCGATGCGACCAGGCTCCATGCCTTGGAGCATTTCGATCTCCTCTAAGTGAAGCCACCTGCACTTCTTAAACACCCAATGCCCTGCCTCGCCAGCCCGATTGCGAGTGAGGCACGGGACTATCCCACACATGGGCTTGCTAGATGCCCGGCCGCTCTGAATATCACCAACCCTGACATCACGCTGATAGGGGTCTGTTTGGTTGATGTGGGCAAGCATGGCATCTCTCTTACCAATCTGCCAAGGGGCCAACTTATCGTTGCCAGATCGGGCAAGGAGGATGCTGCCGAGGGTCTGCATTGGAATCGGGTTAGGCCAAGTAAGATCACGTCTCATGGCGCTCTTGAGAGCGCCGATAATGTCCGCTGGCTGAGCGCCAAAGGCGTCAGGCCATTTCACGGTCGCGGGGTTCCCGCCCATCCCCTCTCCAGGGGTCAGTGACATTATTAGCATCACTAGCCAGTTTGTTGGTTGAAAGGGGGTCGCATGAGCGAGTGCCTGAGCGGGCATTCTCATTCATCAACGCAAGAACCTTTCGGACAGACCACCCGCCAACCAGCCCGCTAATTAACCAACCAGCCGACCGACCGATAAGCCAGCCACCCAACCAGGAACCATGCCAACCATGCAACCATCCAACCAGCCATTTGGCATCAAACTTACTTGCCAACAATCCAAGGACGAACCAACCGATGAGCCAGCCAGAACGTCAGGGAGGGGGTCTGGCGGCAGAGGGCAACGCCCCAGCATAGACTCTCGGTCGGGACTGAGGGAGTCCACCGTGCAGCTTCGTGTCCAAGGTTGTGTGTAGGATCTTGTACTCGCTCTGGCCGCTTGCGGTCTTGACGTCGCTGATCAGCGCGATGATCGCATCCATGTCGCGCTTGTGCGAACAAGCCAAACCCGACGCGTTCTCCAACATAAACAACATAGGTTTCCGTTGTCGGATGTACTCTATGGTTTCAGCACAAGCGTCTCCACGATTGTGCTTATCTGCGAAGAGGCCTCCTGGGGGGGCGGTCGGTTCGATTCAGGTTCGCCATCAGCGCAGCGGGAGGGATGAGAACGAACGGAGAGGGGGGAGTAGAAGTATGAAGACAAGGGAGAGAGAGGCGGGGGGTGATGGGTTGAGGCGAGTGAGAAAGGAGGATGGGGAGGAAGGAGCCAGAGAGAGGGAGTTGCGGGCAGGATGCGATGAGGAGAAGGAGGAAGAGACTGACTGGAGGAGCACGGTGATCATGAGCAGAGGGGTAGCAAGGTGGGAGGGAGAAGAAATGGGTTGAGCAGGATACGTAAATTGGATTATGAGGATGAGGCGGCGGGAGGGTGGGGGCATACGTGAATCTCAACCCTGGGAACGCCCCCAACTATTTTGACCACGTTGACCCTTGGGAACAACAACAGGGAGGGCATGCATCTCATGGGTTTTAGCGTCCCAAGTTGTTAGCCCCCGTTCTCCGCCCCCCTCAGCCGAGAACGGTTGGCACGGGAACCCCGCGTTGTAGAAGTGCACCTGGGGGACGTCCGTGGCACTCCGCTCGCAGATGTCCCCGAACAGGGCCCCGGGCGCGAAGTTCTCGGCGAGCGCAAATCGGGTCTTCTCGTCTTTCTCAGGGGCGAAAGCGGCAACAACATGGCGAGCCAAACGACTGCGTTCAAGCCCTTGCTCGATCGAACAAAGACCAGCACAGTCCGTCCCTATGATGAGCGGGTTCTCTGAGTTGATCATCAAACCAGCCCAATCCCGCGGAATAGGGGTTATATTGAGGGCGAGGGTCGCGTTGAAGATATCCTTATTCAGAATGATGACAGTCGGGATCTTATTCTGGGCGGGGCGGCGCTTCTGGACCTGTCGTTTGATGACAGGTGTCGTAGGCATTGCAGATGGTGCTCCATCGGGCCGTTTTTTCTGGGGGGGGGGACATGCTTGGACGCGGCTGGTTTCCGCCGCACGGTCTTGAAATAAGGCATAGTAGACGCAGAAAAATCATCCATCATACACCCAAAAATCTTGGGCTGATTGTCTGTCTGAGCCTCATGGCTATGTATAGGCACGGACCAGCTATAAACGTGATGTATTTATACTGTATGTGCGTCACATTACATGGTCGCGTCGCCGGGCCCCATCTCGGTCAGCCCCTCATCCTCGAAGGGAGGAGGAGAGGAGATAGGAAGAATAATACTACGGGGGGAGGGAGGGGGGCGGGTGCGCCAGAAGAAGGAGGATGAAAGGAAGGAGGGAGGGCGGATGATGAGAAGGAGGAAGATGAGGAGAAAGAAGAAGGAGGAGGAGGAGGAGGAGGAGGGAGGAGTGATGAGTAAGCGAAGAGGGTGGAGGATGAATGGATGGAGGGAAGAACGAAGAAGGAGGGAGGAGCATTATGATGGTATCGTTCGGCTTGATTGGCAGGCTTCGCGTCTCTGTCTATCCTAGGTAGGGTGCGCCAGGTGTCATGTATGAACTATCTGCATACCCTGCATGTCTTAAGTCCGCTGCCTCGCTGAGTTTGAGACGCAGGAGACTGGCGAGCCAGAAAGCGCGCGCGATTTCTCGCTCGCCAATCCGGAGCGCTCCAGGCTGGCGAGAGCACTACCCGGAGAGTGTAAGTAACTCTGGCGAGCCAGATCGCGCGCGCGATTTCTCGCTCGCCAGAGTTACTTACGCTCAGCGCCAGCCCGCTCGCCAGTCCGGAGCGCTCCAGACTGGCGAGCCAGAAGGCGCGCGCGATTTCTCGCTCGCCAGCCTCCTGGGCTCCGAGCTCGACGAGGCTAAGGACTTAACATATGCAAGTTCGCGTCGCGCCTCGATGGCTGCTGCATCGGGGTTCCAGTAAGTGCTGCTGGACCTCATCCTGAACCATGGGCGCCCATTCTCCTCCTTCTCCTCCTTTCTCCTCCTCTGCCAACCCAGAGACGCCCCCTGTTTTCTGACAGACGTATCGCGTAGATCAACGGTTTGGCCTTAACAACCTCCTCCGACGACATGGCGATGCGCTTGCAAACGTGGGCCCCAAACAAACAGCCAGTTATTACCACGCAGTCGGAACGCAGAATAGCCATTGACGGGCATCAGAAAAGGCCCCCTTCAAAATCAAAAGGCAAGAAGAGGAGGAGCTGATCATTGCTGGTGGTTGGGGCCTTCTCGCTAGGCGGACTGATCTGTCGAGTGAGCGGTGGCAGTCGCACCTCTTTCACCCAGCGGCGGGCAAGCTTGTGCGCCACAGGTTGCGCCATAGATTGCGCCGTAGGATGCGCCCATAGGTTGAGCAACGGGGGCGCCCGCGCAGTGAAACTTCGGCCGACCCGCCAAAGTTGGTGCGCCAGAAGTTGCGCCATAATCATTATTTGGGGGATAGGTTGCGCCATTGGTTGTGCGCCACCATAGGCCGTGCCATAATACTGGCGCCATGAGTTGCGCCATGGGGGCGCTCACGTATACGACGAAACCTCGGCCGACCCACCCAAGTCCTTCGGGCCCGAACGAAAAAAAAAAGCCCTAAGTAGTGTTACCACTACTGTGAAGGAATCAATGAATAATTTGACCTGGTGACACCTGGGCCCCCAGACCCAGAATCAAATAGGGAGAGATCGTCTCCGCTGAGCACGCGTTGTTCTCAGCACAGGCGCGAGCCCCGATCGCCGCGCCAGTCAGTCAGCAAGGAGAAATGGCGCAGACCGCCAGACAGACAGAAGTGAGCACAGAGGAGGAGGAGGAGGCGGTGGATGTTGAGGGGCGATGATGAATGGGGGAGCGGGGACGGAGGAGGGAGGCTCTGAGGAAGGAGGAGGGACTAGGAGGGGGGAGGGGGAAGCGGGGAGGAAAGAGGAGGGAGGAGGGGGAGTGGCGATGGATGGAATGGACGGTCGCCTATCGCGCCGACTGCCCCTCGAGCGCCGCCGGTGGCGCGCTGCGCATCAGGTGGCCGACGTTGCCACAATAAATAATCACCACAGAAACAACTAGAGCACTCGGGCCCCAGTAATGACCACAGAAATCAGATACACAATAATAATGCAGGCCACGTCGCCAACAATGGGTCGGCGACGT